GTCGCAAGCTTTGCTTGAAAGTGAATAAAAGAGAAGAACAGAAGTCTGGTGAGTAATGTTCCTTTGACATATGATCTTCGATCAGCTGAATGAATCTCAATGTTTGCTTCGAAGCGCGGTAAAAAGGTGATCAAGGTGATTGTTTATGTGACGATAATATGAAAAATTAGACGTGCTAAAGTGAAAGTTTTGAAAAGAATTTAATAAAGTGTAAGTTGAAAATGCGGGATGTAATCAGCTTGGACGACTTAGTTGGTGTTGCTGGTTGCCGTGAGTGCGTGCGTTTGAAGAGCGCGAATTGTGTGGAAGAGATAAGCAAAATTGGGGGTAACGTGCATCGGAGAGGCGCGGAAGCGGCACTGAGGGAGTGGCCTGGGGCAGGATGGAGCGGAGGCCCTGGCAGATGAACACATGGTGGTTTAGTCCTCACATGTGATACCTAGTAGAGGAGCATAGCCCCACACAATGAGGACTCGGGGGTAAAGCTATGTCTGGAGGGGGTTTCGGAGACAAAATCCCTATACGTTGAAGAGTTTATTCTCGAAAGAAGGCCGAATTTCTGATGGAAAATTGTTGGGTACGTTATTCAAACTTTGGTCGAAAGTATAAAGTTGAAAAAACAAGAGTTAAAATGTTGAAAGAATATGTTTTGAAAACTGGAAAGGAGACTTCTGAATATTTCCTGGTTCAGAAAAGTAAAAGAACCATGAAGCGAAATTTGAATCAAATGTTTATGATTGAAAAAGAACAAAGGAAATGCAAGCAAAAACACTTGCAAATGTGAGCCTATCGACTTGAAATAATGTTCTTATTGTATGACCATACCTTTTCTTTGCTTCAATTAAAGACAAATCGTTGATGAGAATGGATGCGGTAATGAAATAATTATCATATCGATTATGCGTTTTTATTCGACTATCTAATTCTTTTTGTCGTGTTTTTTTTGACTCCGGTGCCGGTGTCAGGTCAAGTTTAGATGAAGAGTACATTGGCACGCATACTCCTTATCTACACCACTACTAACTGGCAATCACCCACATCCTGGTATCGAGAAACGAACGTAGGGGAACGAGCAGTATCTAATGACGAATGTGACGTAAAAGTTGGAATTCTTGTAATAATTAATGATGATTGGATCTGGTACCAATTCATATATCTAACAGCTTCTGAACTTATCGATGTTTCATGGCCATTAATGTTGTTGAGAGATGAATGAAAGAATGTAGGAAAGATTTCATAGATTCGTATTGTTCAAGTATTCGTCATGAGTGAGAATTTCAGTGTTACTTTCATCTGATACAGTTTCCGGCTTCGACATTGCGCATTTTCTTCTTTAATGTTGCCGATTTACAAATTGTCGTGGATCTTGCATATCGTCTCGATCATTCGCTGATTGGAGTAGTTGGGATCAAATGAAATACTATTCTGTTTCAGCTTGTTCTATTTGTAATGTTCGATGATGGTTCGAAATTGAAGAAAAAGTTTAAGACAAGAAAAGGAATGCAATTTAAAACTGGAATTATTTACGTCACATGTGGCTAATTTTGAAAGAAAAAAATTATATAATGAGAACAAGTTGTTTTATCGAATGATCATATGGTTGTTATATGAGTCAGAAGCACTAACACATACAGTGGCTACCAAAATTTTTCGATCTATATCTCTCAGACGAAGAAAGCTACAGAGCTCAATTTTTCTCTATCTCGTAGTCTATAGTACCGAATATGCATCAGTTTTGTTTCAATTCATAATTTCTAGTTGCTCATCGTTTATTTAAAAAAACACAGAAATCATACGATTTTTCTTTTTCTAAAATTATTCGACCAGCCATCATCATCATAAGAAATCAGTCAAATTATTAATGTTTATTTAACGTATTCTAACTCAGTTCAACGCTATAGTCATTTCTAACACTTAGTTACCAATATCTTCATTTACACATGTCATTACACTTTTTTCTGGAATCATCTCCTGCGATGGCTCCTAAGATAAAAGAGTATTCTTTCGATATGCGGGAAACTGTTGTTAAACGTCGTTTGAATTAGGATTCTGAACGTGAAGTCACTATAAAAATGTTAATTCCTCGTACTTCAATTAATTTCATTATAACCAAATACTAAAAGAAAAAATGTATTGGAAATATCCTTTTGCCGAGGTTAAAAAGGCAAGACTTCAATACATGTGGACTGAATTATATGACGCAAAATCAATATCGACCAACGAAAACCAGTACAATCTGTGAAGATTGAACTTCGATCTGAACATAGGATAACAATTTCTAAAGAAACGGTACGCCGATGATTATGATGTCGATCTTTTTTGGTCGTGTTGCTCGAAAAAAATCACGTGTCAACAAGATCAATAGTGGTAAACGTATTGGATTCATCAAAACATATCGCAAAGAAATTTCTTGGCTTCCGGGATGGCATCTTATGGTCAGATTAAAGCAAATTTAACTTATTTGGATCGGCTGGGAAAGTTATGATCTGATGAATGCCGAAGGGAGAGTTCGATCCAAAATTTACTATTCCAATCGCAAAGCATGTTAGTGGAAATGTCAAATGTTGGGACTGTTTCTCATCCGCTGGTATCGGCAATCTGGTTTTCATCTATAGAAACATGACTGAAAACATGGATCGTGCTATTTTACAAAAGAATTTATTCAAATCAGTGAAAAAATTGAACTTGGACAATAAATAGATATTTCAACATGACAATGAACCAACGCACAGATCATATATTGTAGCACATTGGTTGGATCAGAATGGAGTTGAACGTCTAAAATGACCTTCATTCTCATCAGACATCAATTCCATCGATCATATGTGGAAGAAACTCGAACGGTAAATGAAAAATGAACAACCAAAAACCGAAAAAGACTTAAAAGAGATTTTGATTCATGTTTGGCATAGTATCGGCAAAGATATTATGAAGAAATTAGTAGACTCAATACCAAACCGATTAAATGCAGTGATTCGTATGAAACACTATTCAACGAGATATTAAAAGAGTGAAAAAAACTTTTTTTATACAAAAAATATCGCTTTGTGTTCTGGCCGAATAATTTTGAAAGATGAAAAATTGTATGATTTGTGTTTTTTCTTAAATAAAAGATGAACAACTAGAAACTATAAATTGAAACTAAATTAATATATAGTAGGGACCATAGACTACGAGATAGAAAAAAGCCGAGCTCGGTAGCTTTCTTCGTCTAAGAAATATAGATAGACAAAAAAATCTTAAGTTCAAGTAGCTGAATAATTTTGGTAGCCACTGCGTATTTTGATATAAAAACATATCCTATGATCAGAAGTTTGTCGCCTATTACATATATATTTGAGACAATTCATTCTATTTGTAAAGAGCAAACTTTCTTTTGATTAGCGAAAAAGTTTAGTATATAGTTTCATTTTTTTTAAGCAGGTACTGTAACAGTTTTTATAAAAACAAATGATATTTAGATTTTATCTAAACTGTCTAGTATAACCAGTAGAATTTTATCATGAAGTCACAAGATTCCCTACAGTTTCGGATGCCGCAAGAAAAAGGCCTGTCAATATATGTTATTCCGTCTTGAATTTTGAAGAAAAAGGAACTCAAAACTGAAGCATAAAACTATTACATAGAGTAATCAAATATATGTATATCGTACGTGTATTCACGATAATATCAGCTTAATTTCTTAATTTTTTTATTATTTACTCTTTCAAATAGTTTTCAACAATGGTGTATTTTACACAATGTGTGTATGTACATGGTTTATTTAGGTCACAGCATCAAGTGACCTTGTCTATTGTTATTTTGCTTTTTCACGGAGAAATCAATTAAAAACAGAAAAATTTCTTTTTTTTGTCATATGAAATCTTTTAAAAAGAACTTCGATAGAACCCTGATTGCTTTTTCTGTATCATCTTATTACTTGTTTATCTATTAAAACATCTAACTAAGATAAAGATATTTGTTATTATCATGAAGATTTTAGCTGTATTTTTCTTGCATTCTGTTCTCCTTTTATCACTGTTTTTTTTTGTCTTAAAAAGAAACGCACTCACCAACGCCTATGCACGTCAATAGAAAAACAGAACCTATGATAAGGAGAGAGCAACATGCATCAGTATTATCGTCATCACAATACTTCAAAAGGTGTCGTTTTTTTATAATACTTAAGTAGCACTCAATTGAAGTACTAAAAGCACACATAAATCATCATGAGTAATTATCCTTATGGAAATCCAGCTGGTAATTATCCACCACTCTATCCTATAGGTAATAGTGGTTATCCAAACTATCCACCTAATAGTGGTTCTCAGCTTCCTCCGCCACCTATACCCATGTATGGTAATAATCAACCGTTTGCATCACCCTATGGTGCGGCTGCTCCTTACATGCCTGGCAATAGTAATTATTCAACAACATCCTATAGTGTAAATCAAATGCCAAGTAACTTATATAGTTACGGAGGTGGTAGTGACTATCGGCCACCTCCACCATCTGGAGGACAAATGCCTTCATCGATGTTGAATCAACCTGCACAGCAATATGGAGGTAAATATGAATTAATTATTCAAATAAATATATGAAAATCACTTAATCTTTTTTGAGGTTTTGAAAACTTGCAATATCAACAACCATATTCTCAAGAAACACCGTCATCATCATCTGGCGGTTTATATCCAAACTTGTCAACACCAGCAACATCACCCACCTATGCCGTAAGTAATAATCTATCCGTCACATTCTTTTAAAATTATCTCTCTTTTTCATTTTGATATTTCAGGAACAAGGCATAGCTCCTTCATACCAACCTCAACATCAACATCAATCGTTTTATCCTGAACAGCAACCATCGAGTGTACTTGCTAGTTTAGAGCAATATCAAGGAACAGTTTTTCCAGCATCAAATTTTAATATTGATGCTGATTGTCAAGCATTAAGTCAAGCAATGAAAGGAGCAGGTAAATCAAAAATAGAAAAAAAAACAAACTTGGCTATGCTCTCGTGATTCATTCTCATTTCAAGGTACTAATGAACGTGCTTTAATCGATATTCTTGCTAACCGATCCAATGCACAACGTCAACAAATTAAACTTCAATATAAATCGATGTATGGCGTGGTAGGTATATTCTAAAATCAAAATTCAATCAGATATTTGAATTTTCTTTAACTTAGGATTTGATTAAACAAATTGCTGGAGAATTAAGTGGAAATTTTAGAGAAACAATTACTGCCTTATTTGAAGCACCAACAAATTTCGATGCATGGTCATTAAATCAAGCTTTAAACGTACGTCTATATTTCTCTTATACATATAATCATAATTGTATTTATTGTCGTTTTTTTTTAGGGAAATAAAGAAGGAACATTGCGTGAAATTTTGCTTACAAGAACAAATAGTGAAATTCGAGCAATTGTTGAATTATACAGACGAAGTAAATATGCTTTATTGCTTTCAACTAAGTCATATTTTAATATATATTTGATAGTATATAATAAGGATCTTGAAAAAGAAATCAGTAATCGTGTACGAGGAACTGATTTCAAACGATTGCTCGTTTCTGCCATACAGGTTAAGAAATTTATTTATTTTGAATACATTGTAGTAAATCGTTCTTTTAAGGCTAATCGAGACGAATTGAGTCCACAACAAATTCAACAAGCTCGTCAGATGGGTATTGAAAGTATTATTGATCGGTAAAGATTCTGAATTTTTGATAATTGATTTCTATTTTGTTATCCTCTTCAATAGTAATCGTGCTCGTCAAGATGCTGATGATTTGTATAAAGCTGGTGCTGGTAAATTGGGTACAGATGAGAAAACATTTAATGCTATTTTCGCTCAACGTAATTATTATCAACTTCGTGCTACTTTTGAAGAATATCAAAAAGTAAAATTTTTAATTTAGTTCAAAAAGAATTTTTCAACTTTCTTATAGAAATATCGACAAGATATTGCTAAAGTAATTCGATCAGAATTTTCTGGTAATATTAGAGATGCTTATCTTGTTTTGATATCATGCATTCGAGATCGACCCTCATTCTTTGCTGAACGTATCAATAACGCTGTTAGGGGTTTAGGTACTAACGATTCAACACTTATTCGTGTCATTGTTACACGTTCTGAGGTAAATTAAAACACACTGAAACAAATTGAAATGAATCTTTTCAATATGTTTGTTAGATTGATCTTGCACAAATTAAAGAACGATATCAACAAATGTATAATCGTTCATTAGCTCAAGATGTTCGTGGAGATACCTCGGGTGATTATAAACGAATTCTGTTATCAATTATAAAATAACATTTCATTTTTCTATTTATATGAAGAAAAAAAAAAGAATTATTGTCAGAGTGAAAATTTTAACAATAAGTGATTTCAATAAATATTAGTTATTCACTATAAAGCATAGAAAAATGAATCATTGTATTCATGAAAGAATAAACAAAACTATTTTTATTATTTTATTTTTCATCAATTGCCAAGAAACGATGCCGAGAAGCAGAGTTGTTTTGCCAATCATAGAATAATTTACAATAGTTACATCACTTATCAATGTCAGCAATTGTTATGGCAAAAAAAAAGATCATGATTACTATTATTTAAAAGTATTTGACATGTTGTTTGATTCAATGATCCAAAATAGTAACTATTTAAAAATTTTAATTTAAAACTTTTCTTTTAACCTGTAGCTATAACATCGAATAAACCTTGAAAGATTGTCCAAGACTGTAACTCTTACTTGATAGTATTGAGTTCGATTGCATCTTCTGTTTAACTAAGGCAAATTACTTAAAATCTAGAGTAGAAGTGACAATTTATCTTCCATGATCATGACCATAATGTTCGTCATCATGTCCATTATCGGCAATAACAACGTACGTGACAACCAAACTTAAGAAAAGAATATCAGAAAAAATGATTTACTGATTACTACACATGTTGTTGTCAACAGATTTATATCTGATTTCAAAAAGATCACCGTATATATAATTATATAAGCCTAGAGTTATAATGATAAATTAATATACTTTAAATATTCTAAGTAAATTTTGTCAAATTAGAATCCATTATCACGAACTAAAATGAACGTTTTTTCTTTTTGTGATAAGTATTCATAGATATTTATTACACATTTAATGTGATGTGAGAATAGGATGAATCTTCTTGACTTAATCGTTCATAAAACAGAAAACAATTAGCTTACATGTGATCATATCTTGATTTTCTCTAATATTGAATATAATTTAAAGATGTAGGCATAAAGGATATCTTTCTTTCATCCACAACCCACATCCTAACGTGACTCAATATGAATGAGAGATTTTAACGAATTGATGATTAGGAAATTTCAAAACATTTTGATATTTAGAAAAATCAACTTCTTTACTAGGAAAGTTTTCCAATATGTAGAAAACAAATACTGCCACTTGTTGTCAACGTCAGAAAAATTTCTTTGGTATTTCTTTACAATATTAATTATTACTTAGATTTTCAATGATTTACAAGAATTTTCTTTCTATTGATATTTTAATTTTGAAGCATGCTATTATTTGCTTATTTTCAATTGTCATCTGGGGAAAATATGTGCCAGAAAATAATAATGAGCAAATGTCAATTAAGTTTAAAATAGAAATAAAAGCATATTTGTTAATGATACACAATAGGCACGGGTAAAATAGGACGAGATTGTTGTGGTGCTGTAGTATTACGTCGAGGAAGAAAATTAAGATCATCTTTGCTGTAGAATCTATTATCATCATCGAAGATTGCTGGTTTTTCCGGTCGATAGAATGTACCCCTATATTATAAATAAAAATTTTATTTTATAAATAATTCATTAATAATGAATAACATACGTTTTAGCTGAATACCATTGACGAATTGGATGTGGATAATTAACACCTGTTTGTTGAAGTTCAAAATTAAGACGTTTTTGATATTCAACTTCTGTTTGCATGCCTTCTACAAATTCACGTTGAATCTCATATTCCTCCTAATAAAATTTCAATTTATTTTCTTTTATTTTTTTTTTTTATAAATATTTAACTGTACCTCTTGTTTCTTTCTTTGTTCATAATTCATTTGTCCAATTAAATCTTGTTTATAAGCAAGTCGTTTTGTTCTATTACGTGCTTCACGATCTGCTTCTTCTAATTTAACTTGTTCAGAAATATTTTTCATATTATCTTTTTGCCATTGATATTCATTTGCTTCTTGTGCTTTTCTATCATCTAAATCAAATTGAACAATAAAGTTTATTAATTGATTAAGAAGAATGAAACATACTTCGATCGATTAATTGTTGTTGTCGACCTTCAACAACTTCGTGAAGAAGTTTAGCACGTTTATCTTTTTCAGCACGTATTTTTTCTGCACGTTTAGCATTTTGTCTATCTATTTCAGTTTGTAAAACACGATCAAGTTCAATTTGTTGTCTTCGTTCATCAAGTTTTCGTTGTTCTAAATAAGTACGATAACGGTGATTTTCATCACGAAGTTCCAACTAAAAAAAAAAAACATTTTCAAATTTATTTTCAATTTTTAACAAAACAAAAAAGAAAATCAAATAAAATATTTCAACCTTTCGTTGTCTTTTTTCCATTTCATCACTTATAGTTGCATGTTGAGTTTCTTCAGCAAGTTTTTCTTCAAGTGCTTTTTCTTCTTCAGCTTTACGTTGTTGAACTTTTTGTTTAGTACTAAAAATAAAAAAAAAACAAAGCTTAAAATAAGATTAATAGAATTAATCGAAAAGATTAATTTACGTCAAAACCGTATCAAGTATACGTTTTTGTTCTTCTTGTTTACGTAATTTTTCTTGATATTCAGCAATTTTTTCATCTTTTTGAGCACGAAATTGTGTCCACTATATGTAATAAAAGAAAAATTCTAGATGAATAATCAAATAAATAAAAATATTTACGGCCGCTTCGGAATATTCTTTTCGTTTGCTTTTCTGTAAATTATGATCAGCTTCTACAGCTTGCATTTGTTCACGTATAACTTTAGCCATACTTTCTGATTTTAGTTTTGCTTCTTGTGTATCACGATCTTCACGTTCTTTCTTTTTTGCAATATCATTATACCATAATTGAGTCCAAAATTCTTCTTCTGCCTATGATTAAATGATATGTTTAATGTTATATAAAAAACAAAAAAAAAACAACTCCTACTTGGTGATCTTTTTTTCTATCGAATTTTTCTTTTATTTGCCATAAATGTTCATTACCTAATTCATGATCTAATTCTTTCGATTGAAGTTCACGTAATTCAGCACAATCACGTCGAAAACGTTGATCATATTTTTCTTGTACAAGTTTTGCATGTTCACTTTCTTTTTCTTCTCGTATACGTTTAGCTTTTTGACGCATTTTTCCAATACGTTGAGTTAAACTTTCTTTTGATGATTCTGCTTCAGCAAGATATTGTGCATCTTCAGTAGCAAGTAATGTACGTAAACTAAAATCAAAAGATATGCGAAATTTAAGATTTGATAAATTTAAATCTTCGATTTGAAATATTGTTTATCTCAATTTATAATAAAATGAATTTTCAAGGTTCATTTAACTCTCATGATCTTGAGTATATTGAAAAATCAAATTATTTCTCGAATAGAAGTCAAAATCTTCTATATATAAAGTAGAAGAATTGTACAAAATGAATTCTAAATACCGTTCACGTCGTTCTTCGAGTTGATGATCGGCATGATTTAATCTTTGTTCAACTTCACGTCGTACTTGAGCATGAAAAGCTTTATTTGATGATAATTCATCAAATTGTATTTTATTTAATTCAGTTTTTGCTTCTCGATTATGTTTTTCTCGTGTTTCACGAATAGCTTCAAGTTCACGATTTTGTGCTACAAGATTTTTATGTGGTCGATAGGGTTTTTCGAGCTAAAGAAACAAACAACAGAGTTAATTCAACATTCATTCGAAATAATCATTCATTTTTTTATTATTTACCAGACCAAATTGACCAGGTTGTGGTCCAGGAATATCACGAATGCGTAAAGGTGGATAAAGACTTGTAGCCATTAGAAAAAACAAGTCCTACAAAAAAAAAAATTTCTTTTTTCTATTAAACTAAACACAAAATAAATGCCATGTTAGAAAAACTTTCCAAGTAAAAGACCTTACATATGACACAATTCATTAATTAATCTAATAAAATATATTTAATACTTTTGAATAATATTTTTTATTGAGATTTAGATAAATATTTTAATTTATTTTTTATAATTATTCAAAAAGGAACAAAACATGGAACGACATCTACAATAAATCTAATAATTGTTGTCAAGGTGATATATTTGATTTATTTGACAGAATGGTATTTTAGAATATATTATAATTATTCATCAGTGTATCAAAATGTTGTCTGGTAAGGTTTTTTTTCTCCTAGTTATTAAGCTTTTCTAGTCTAGAAATATTTATACAAAATCAAATGATTCTTTGCATGATTTGCTTATCTTGCTTTTCTCAGGCGAAAACACTATTTCACCAAATGTTGCTTTTGGCACAACAGCAGTCAATCGACCGACATTTCCTACTGATATAGCGCATGATTGTTTTGGAAATCAGCAAACACCAGTACGAGGTGTACCAAATCTGTAAATTTCTATTTTATTTCGTTGATTAATTGCTTGCTATTTATGCTTTATCTATTGCTTTAATATCATTAGTGGACCGGGTTCATATAATAATGAAGAAAAAACAACATTTCGATATGTTCTTGATCATCAACCGATGAGTCGTCGTGGATATACTTTCAATGCACGAACAGAACAACGAAAAACTTTTGAAGCAAAAGTGATTTGAGAGAAAGATTTTGCTTTATTTTTATTGTTGCTTTCAAGATAGTAGATAATTAATTTATTGATTTTATTCTTTAAATAGATTGATGTACCAAGTCCAGATACATATCAAATGGATCTAACTCGTTTACCAGATAAAAAACGAGCATTCAAACCTTTTAATGGAGCTGCTCAAAGATTTTCAACGCGTGCTAAAAGTGCCGATACTCCAGGGTATAGAATAATTTCTTACTTTAATAATCCATTAAAATTTTTCTCCATTTGAAAACGAAAGACCTGGCAATTATGAATGTGATGTTAAACAAAATCGTCAAGTACATATGCTTCATAGTTTTGGTGGTCGAGCTAAACTTATTCCTGCTGTTAAAACAAAGTGTACATCATTAAATATAGATAAGGTTTGAAGAAGATCTTGTTTTTTTGTTTTCTTTTTTATATGAAATTTTTGATTTATATTTCAAGTGTGTAATTTGTCTTCAAAAACCTATTGGAGATTATTATCAATATCGAAATGAAATTCTTTGTTCTAATTGTTTTAATTTTAATTGGCAATGGCAAGAAAAATTTAAAAGAACGTAAGAGTTCAAAACAAAAAAAAGACTTGATCACATTAGAAATTATTATATATTCTTTAGATATCTTCAAGCTTTTCAAAAAGTTCGTGATTGTTCTTATATTCATGATCATGCTGGTACTTCAGCTAAAATTCAAGTAATTAATAAATTTTAATATAATTTAATGTAATTCTAAAAATTTTTTTAGCTGATTGATGATAAAACTACAAAGAAACTTCAACGTAAAGAAGCTTACCTTAGTCTCTATTGGCCTTAAATAATTATTTTATTGAATAAAAAAAAAGACATTATAGAAATTGAAAAAAAAACAAGTTGTCTTTCAATAAAATTTCTTTTTTTTTTAATAATTTATATTGTAGATAATTTTTTAAAAAATGACAACTTCACATAATTCATTAGAAATTGAACGACTTAAAGCTGAAATTCATCAAGAAGAACAAATAAAGTAAATTTTATTATAAAAAAGTAAAGTATTTATTTCTATTTTATTAATAGATTATCACTTGAACAATCATGTCATGAATTACAAAATACAGCTTCTGAATTAGAAAAACGATTAAAAATGATTGACGAAGAAAGTATGTAAGATTTCAGTTAGTTTGTTTTTTTGTTTATTTAAATATTTAAGAAATTATTCTAAAAGGAAATTTTATGTAGTGAGTACTCATCTTGATATAGGTGGACAAATAGAAGGTATTTTTGTTTTTTGTTTAAAATATAACAAAAAGAAAAACAATGAAATCTAATCAGAGTGTTTTTTTTTTGATTCATCAAAACAATGAAAATGTTTGATGCGATGAAAAAATTTTTTCATTGTGTTTTTGAATTGAATTCAAAGATTCATTTTGATATAATTAGGTAATGAATGGAAAACACGTTTCGAAAATCAAGAAGAAATTAATCGTCATTTAGCAAGACAAATTCTTTTACTTGAAAAAAATATTGATCAAGCAAAAGAAGAACAAAAAACTGGTATGTGAAAAAGAATGATTAAGATAAACTTTATAAATTTACTTTTTTTTAGCAAAAACACGTGCAGCAAAAGCAGATCCGAATGAAGTAAAATTTTCATCTTTGTTGTTTTTTTTATTGTCTTTTAAAAAGAATTTAATGTATATTTGAATTTTTTCAAGGTTAGTCAAGAAGTATTGAGTGTTGTTGAAAATGAGAAAAAAAATTTATTAAGTCAATTACGTGATTATGAATGGCGATTGGAACAAGAAAATAAGGTTCTTAGGTTTTAATTTTCAAATTTAAAATAAAATTTTTGTTTTTTTTTTTCTCTCAAGGCTTATCATAAAGCAAATGAAGAACGAAAAATTTTAACAAATGAAATCACTGATGTTCGAAGTATGATAATTTTGTCTTTAATAAGAATAAATATATAATTTAATTTATTTTAAAAAACAAAAATAGATGCAATTTCAGTTATGAAAGAACGAACTCAAACAATAGAACATACTAAAACTGAACGAAATGCACAAATAATTAATCGAGAACCAAATGAGTATGTCTGATTAGAGAATTAATATACACTTAATCTTTTTTATTTAGTAATATTCCTATGGATAAACGTGTTATTGATCCAAGAAAAGGTCCAATTAATCGAAATGCAGCAACACGTTCATTACCAAAACTGACTAAACAATAATAACAGTAGAAAATAGACATGTCAAGTATTGCAATGACTATGGGACAGCTTCATTTCTCAATATTTGATTAATCATATTAGTGTTCGGTGAATTACTTTATTGTATATGAATTATTCTCATCTTTTATTTTTCTTTGTTTGCTGTGTATAATTATTATAATCAGATAAATTGGGAATATTTTAGACGGCGCGAAAAAAAAGCAGATAAAAACTTCTACTTTTGATTTTGCATTCTTTTTTCACTTATATATATTATATAATGTTTACTAGAGAAGAACATGTTGATCTTTTATTGAATACACTTAATGAAGCTGTCATAATGTTACTTGATGCTTGTAATGCTAATCAAGCTCAAGATGAAATTCTATCATTAAAAAAAATTGCTAAGAATAAAAATTCAAATCATAAACAACAACAAAAGACAATTAAAAAATGTTCGTTTTATCACAAAAAACCTGTTGATAAAACTAAATAAATTTTCAAATATTAAATCAAATACTACTATCATAAAAAACATGACACAAATAATGAGAAAGAATTTTGTTAAGAACAAAAGATTGAATTGATATTGACCAATATATTATGGTAATTCAGCATTTGTTTGCGAGATTATATGTGCAATATTACGTTCGAGATCATCAATTCGTCGACCCATATCATCAACTAGAAGAAGGAAAAAAAGAATTATTTCTAATAAATTTAAAAAAATACGAATGTTTTTTTTTTTTGGTTTACTTCTTGTCATAATTGAATCACTCATTTGTCCAAATTTATCTTGAATTTGTGAAATAGTATTTTGAACCTAAAAGAAAAGATGATCAATAAGAATTTTTAATATAAAATATCTATTTACTAAATTAACAAGTTCTTGAGCATTTTGTGGTTCACGTATAGGATATTCTTGAATATTAATTAATCCTGTTGTTGTATTTAAATTTGTCATGATCCAAGAGAAACAGAAAAAAAGCTAATATTTTAATTTTATATTACTTTCTCCTGTCTTTCAACTCTTTTCTTGTCTTGCACTCGACTATTGTTGAATGAAAGAAGAAAAAAAAATTGTCTTTTACTCGATGTGTTTGGAGTCTATTCCGATTGTTGTATGTGAACGACACAACGATAGAGAATGAGCAGAGTGCTACCGACCGATGTTATTTCTATGGATTGTGATTTGTTAAATAGAAACGAGAAGCAAAAAGAAAAAAAAAAAGAGAATAGAAGATTTTTTTTCCTGCTTTCTTTCTTTATTAAAAGTAAAAATTTCGAGTAGGCTTCGGCCAATACTACGTAATCGGACACTACCTATTAAGTGTTTAAACAAAACTCGAATAACATCAATGTTCAAGGATGACAAATCCGAAAAAAAGAATAAATTTCGAATCAATCAAAAACAAGAGAAAAATCAACAAATTTTCCTTCTATTTATTTATTATTAATCAAAATCGATTTTGTTATACGTGTTTTTCTTGAAACCAATTCCATTTTGTAAATAGTGAAATTACAAGTAATATCTATTTTTCATATCATCATGATGATGTAATAACGTACATTTCATCATACATTTGATATTTCATAGCACACTAGCAAAGATATATATACGTATATATTATTTTTTTTCTTTTGTAAAATAAAATAACAATCAATCGAATGACGAGCGTAACAACAACACAAACAGCATTATGTTTAATACCACCCGACAATGTTTGGGAACAAATTCAATCGATTCGTTCAATACATGACAAAGCTTATCCACGTTGGATGCCACATATTAATTTAATATATCCGTTTACACTAGAAAGGAATTTTGATAATATTAAAGCACAATTAGAACCGATTCTTAATCGAATAAAACCATTTCAAATTCAATTTGATCAATCATCATTTCATTATTTTAAACAAAGAGAAGATGAATGTACATATCATATAAGACCAAAAATTAGTACAGATATTGTTGAACTTCAAAAATTAATTCAAAATCAATTATTAAATTTTATTAAAAATAAACGTATATTTGAAGCACATCTTACACTTGGTCAAACAACGATATCAAAAATTTCCGATGTTCTTATTGAAATGAAATCTATATGGAAAACAATTGAATTTACTGTTGATCGTGTCTATATGATTAGTCGAGAAAATCATCCAGAAAATTTATTTACAATTAAAAATGAAATTCTTTTATTAGGTCAAGAAAATGAATCTCTTCCTCCTGCAATATCTAATTCAATGATAAATCCAATCAAATCATTACCAATAAATTATCTATGTATTATTTTACCAAATGAATTTTCTTCATATCTTCTTCATTTATTTGAAAAAACATCATTTCAACCATTTAAACCATTTCGAATTATTCTTGCTGAATATGAAAATGGTCCTATCAGTTCGGATTTACGTTCGAAACTTGAAACAATATCAAAATTTACACTTGATTTTGGATCAGATTCAATTGATTACGATCAAACAACATCACGCGTTTTTCTAAAACCAACTGATATAGAATCAATTCGTCAATTCAATATACTTGATAATAATAAATATGATGGTACATTAACTTTAGGAGAAATACAAAAAAATGATTTCAATAAAATTAGTGATCGGTTTATGAAAAGTTGTACATCTGATATTTATAAATTTGAAGTTGATCGAATACATTTAAGTGATTTAAATGGACGATTAAAATTTATTTTTCGTCTAAAAACTCACTAATTTTCATAATATTGGATATTTTTTAAATTGATAAAATAAAAACTCGCAAAATAATGCATTTTCGATAATTTTACAGTCATTACTAGAAATTTTGCTATTATAAAATCAGTTATATACGAAGCGTTCTTTAACATAGATAATACTTCGATGAGTAATATATAGAGAAAAATCTATTGATGAGTAACAGTGTATCATCACTTAATCAGACGTTTGTTCGAATTAACATTTCTGCTCTTCACATCATTATAAAATAATAGGTTTATACGCAAAAATCATAAGAAAAGAACAAATATTAATAATTCAACAAAAGGGAAAGCATTTAAATATAACTTTAAACGGAGAAGAGATCGTATTGTCCATTTCAAAATATAATGTGCTCCAGTGTTTTTTCAATAACTTGAGAACGCAAGCAGCTAGAGATCTGTGGTTTTCATCAATCGAAAGAGGAGACGGGGGCACGTCTTTTTCTCCAATATTGTATAAGACGAAAGTCATTTTAAAACCAGTAATTTCTGTAAAACACGACAAAAGGTGCATGAAAACGATCTATCATTTCGATGAAATTTTGATTTTGGCATGTGATCTATAGAGAAGAACTTCAGATCAATAATTCAAGATCTAATTGGAATGATTATCTTCCTCCATCCTAACGTTGAGCAAATAAAGTCGTCTATTTGCTCGCATAAAAATTATGGAATTCTTTTGATTTTTAAGCAAATTTTCTTATTGTCAAAATTTCATCTGAATGACAGATTGTCTTTGTACATTTTTTTCGATGTCTTGCAAAAATGACTGATTTTAAAATGATTTCGTCTTATACAATATTGGAGGAAAAGACGTGCCCTCGTCTCCTCTTTCGATTTGTGAAAACCGCAGATCTCTAGCTGTTTGCGTTCTCGAGTTATTCAAAAAACAGTGGAGCACATTATATTTTGAAATGGATAATAGAATGCAATAAATTATGAACAAATATATCTTTAATTTCTAGACGAGATGAACAATCAAAAGCTTTCCAATTGACGATGATATCTGTTGTTTTTCGATGAACATATGAAGTCAAGTTATGGTTTGTAAATTAATATGCACTATAGCATGATTAAGAGAAGCTTTCGAAAATACTATTAGAATAAATGCCAGTTGTTGATAGTTACTTTTTAGTACAAAAACCAGTTGCTTTTTAGTTAGTGTTGTCGAATGAAAAAAAAAAGTTTGTAATTTTGAGAGCTGACCAATTATCTGGTTGCATAAGAAACAAAGTCAACATGCAAACTATATCATTTTGGCTATGAATTTTATGTATTAATAGATCAATTGAACCCTCGTTCTGTACTGTATGTCATAGAATGTCTTAGAGCTAGATCAATGTGTTAGAACTTCAATAGATATACGAACTTGTGTCATTTTGATTTTTAGGAAGAATAGATTAAATATTAAACTCTTTCTTGCGGTTGGTTTTTTTTATTCAGATTTGTTTTATATCACACACACTGTCAACCTGACCGATACGATAGTTGAGAATGCATGAATGATTGATGAAGGTCTTATAAAGCAATTGCGGAAATGAGGAACATGCCGCTGATGATTATCAAATTTTTTCTCAATTGAGGAACATTCCGTTTGAATACGTCATAAAATGTGTCCAATCTAAGCAAAGTTCACAATACATGATTTGATTTATGATTACAAAATACATTGATTGATCTAATTTGAATCATATCTTCAATAAGAACAAACGAATTATCGACCGAAACAATCATATATATATGATCAAGAGTACTTTCTCGTAGATAATGTCAGCAATAAAATTGAGACATTAGCTTTGATTAGTGAAGGTTTCAATGGAATTGACAACATGATAAAGTTGGATAATAAAATTTCAATATTTACATTCCATCTATTAATCGTTCAATCTAATCAGATAATAATGAATTGTTTGACGATTCGAAAGTATTCACGATCGTAACGAGATTCTTATTCTATTTGTATTTGTGCCAACAATTGTTTTAGATATTGGATTTATTTCTTAATGGAATGAAATTTTTATTTTTTTCCTACGGCAAGAAAGATACTTACCAGTTTCACTTGTTCTTTTATCCAATTTATAATATCATTATATTGTTGATGACAAGTATTATTCTCGTCATTTGATATCGATACTAAAATTACAATTTTGCTTCATTTTCTTCAAGAAAACATTTGTTTTCTTTTTTTTTTTTTTATTATAGTTATTAAGACAATTTATTTCATATTTTCTCATTCATCTTGAAAATATCGTTGGCAAAATAAAAGAGGAAAAGGTATGATTTTCATGTAAACATAAGTAAACGTCATTTATTTTTCTTTTCATTAATTAGCCACCAAACGTTAGTAAAATATTCATATTTTAACTAAGTGTTTCATATTTTTTGTCATAGTAATAAACTTCTAGTAGTTTCTTTTAATGAATGAGTTATTTGATATGCAAATGCATCTTCATAATTTTTTTTATCAATCAATTTTACAAGCATCAACAAAGAAAAAAATCTCATTGAACATTAGCGTATAATTTACTAGTAATACAATAAAATGAAAAAACATATTGCTAAGATCGATATTTAAAAATACACAAATTATTACAATTCTATAATTTATCTATATTCAATATTTAATATAATCAACTGTTACAAGACTGGATGAGTCAGAGTCATGACTCGGACTCAATTCATCCATTCAAAGAAAGCAAATGTTGATAATTCATATCAATCTCTTAATAAACTTATTAGAAAAATCATGTATGTTCCTGTTACATCAGCATCTATTGAACATGTGTTTCCTCCAAGCGGTCTTTTAATGAACTCATATCGTTCAAATTTTCACGAGTTAATATTTGCATTTAAACATTTTTGAAGTAGTGTTTTGCAACCGGCTCGAGTTCGGATTTGAGATCATATCTGACACCCGACTCGATAACATATGAGACTTCAATGTTTCAAAATATTTTTTATTTTTTCAAACCACTATATATAAGCATAAGAATGAAAACCAGTTTGATCATAATGAAGCAATTGTACTTTGAGAACAAGTCGCAGAAGTGGAAAGTGATATTTTGTTTTTAATGAAAACTCATCTGATTATTGTAATGAAAAAAAAGCACTCATGTATATATCCACAGTTATGCCGTTTGGCATCAGCGTTATCAGCAACAAGCAAACATATGCTTAGCGAAATTGATCAGATTTTAGAAGCAGAGAAACA